ATAACTCAGTGTGAAAGTCAATGACCTTAGTAATTCCAAACCAAAGTAGAGCACTAAAATATTAGTTTACCACATGAGAAAACTCATCATGGAAAACTAATCCATCAGCAGATTTAGTAATTATCATTTTATTAAACAGCCCTCTTGCTAAGGAAAACATACTACCTAAATCAAAGTGTCAAACGTCACATAAAAACACCCTCTAAATAGTACAGAGAGTTTACATAAGATTTCATTACTGTCACTATTTGTGTTTTCCTTACAGAGGGGCTGTCTGATGAAGAACACAGCAAGCAATGCAGCATGGATCAAGTGATGCTGCAGACTGGCTACTGACCACAGAAGGACCAAGAATATTTTTACCAAACAATTACTTTGTGTCCAAACAGCATAACAAATAGCTGTATTATTCTCCTTCATTAATTCTATGTCTAATTTCTATATCATTCTCTGTTTTATGACTAATACGTTTTTTAAGAGACATTTATATCTACATTTCAAATGTATGACCTTCGAATATGTTAACCAGAGCCAAAAAGCAGAGTTCTGTGATTGTATGACAAGTCCACGTGGGAACCACACCTATACAGCTGGGTACAGAGAAGCAATAAACTCCCGAGGGGGTGGCCAGACATATGAGGTATTAGGGCCAAATATACAAATACTCCATTCCATAGAGTATAAAGGAGAGGCAGCACCCAAAAACCAGAAGTACCAGTGCAGTGCCAGGAAATCCACCCACAGAAAGACAAGAAAACCAGCAACTACCACAGGAAAAAAAAAAGGGTATTGAGCATAGGGAATGGTACAGAACTGGGTCTTTCCCCTCTGAAAGACTTGGTGCTGCGCGGAGACACAGAAGAATTTATAGGGGAGATGTATTTTAACTGATCTGGAGGTATACTGTGATAAAAGTAGCAATTTGAGATTTATGTTTCTTTTTTTTTTTTTTAAGATGCAAGGAACGTGCTTTTCCAATCTTCTCTGTCATGACTTTGGACCTTCTGAACTTGGATTGTGAAAAACTCTTCAAGTTTCTCTACTCCAAATCAAAATAGTGATACACCAAATACAGATTTATAACAACTCGGAAATACCAAATTGCCTCCAAACTGCATGTTTTAATTTACAAATCTGGGTAACTGCGTATCAAACCATATGCAACACTGTGCCATTACTGTTCTGCCTATATAAATGCACTCAAATACTGTGAGTGTAGATTACCTCCCATCGCTTGGGAACTGCAGATGGCCAGCGACTTGGCAGGTGGTCTCCCACTCTGCTGTGTTGCATTAACTAGAAGTTTGGATCCCTGACAGCAACAACAGAACAAAATATGGAGACATTAAACCCTCCCAGCTAAACACTTATGAACATTATTTCAAGACAAGCAGGAACGGTTTCTCTTTTCCAAACCCTGTTCTTGTAAACATCTGAACCTTTCGGACGTTCAGCCAGAGGCAGGTATCGGTCAGAGATCGCTTCAGCCCGAAGGAGCACGTAACATGGGACCGAGCAGGAATTTACCGGGTAAATGGCAGGATGCGGCTGAGCGTAGGCAAGACTGCTTGCTCTGCCTTTTCCTGCTTCCAAGAGATGGCTACGTGATGAGTTACAGTGTTTGAATATTTGGAAAAAATGTACAAATCCAGAATTCTGTATTTTAGTATCTCATACAAGAGACTAATTAAAACCACCTTCATGCAGGTAAGGTATTTACTGTATTGTCTTTCAGATAACTATGCAAAGAACCGCATTACCTTTTTTAATAGTGCTGCAATGGCTATGCGATATGCATAATTCTTGATAATATGTTCTGAATTCCCATTAATGAGCCAAAAATTGCAGATCACATATACACACACGAGATTTAAAAACTTATCAGTTGTGAAGTTCCAAGCATTTGATTCCTTATACTAAAAAAAGCATTAAAAAGCTAAATAAAAACATTGTCAAACATAGCTTGAATGAAAAACTGCACCTGAAAAAATAACACGCTAAACCTCTCTCACAGCCTTTAGCTGTGGTACTACACTAATTGTCTTGAAAAGCTATATGATTTCAGGGAGAAGATGAGGTCAACACTGTTATTTTAAAGAGGACTACTTTGAAAAAATTAGCACTTGAAATTTTATTTCCATTTTATTAATAATTAGGAGGAAAATAGAATACACCAATTAAACACTCACCTGTTAAGCTACCAAGTGTAAGTTTCCGGCGACCCATTCTTTCAACGAGCCAGACTCCCACCAGAGTAAAAATGAAGTTTATAAATGCTGTCAGTGCAGCCAGCCAGATTGCAAGCCTGTCGTCTTCAACTCCGGACATCTGCAAAATGGTAGCACTGTAGTACCTGTGAGTGGAGGGAGAGACAAATACGAACACCGCTGATTTCATTTTGGCTCACGTTAGAGTTTCTGATTTTAAATCAAAAAAGATCATAGCAAATACCAAGTGTGACCTCCTGCATAATGCAGCCACAGACTGACACCCAATTACTCTGGGAAATCATGCATAACCAAGGCATAACTTGCACTTGGCTAAAGTTTTGACTGGAAGACACTGAGAGATGAATTCCACTTCCCTTGGCTGTTTATATTTTCAATGGTCAATCGTATTCTGCCAGAAACGGGCTTTGCATTTTTAATTTAAATAAATCCGGCTTTCAAATTCAGCTGTTGCTTTGTGCTCTCTCTTTTTTTCTGCCAAAACATGCAGTATTCTAGCACTCTGTGTACTGTCTAAGGAAAGATAGCTCAAAAATCAAATACATCTTCACTCCCGCTAAAGGTCATACAGAACTAATCTATAGCATCCAACACATCACAAGTGACACTTGCAACCTCCTGGTTTTAGGTTTTGCAGTTTTATTTCACTGCCACTGAAGTGCCCAAAACCTTCTCTATCGTATTACTTTTGTCTTATCCAGCGTACGACTGCTTTGAAATGCCTTAGCACCCCGTTGCAGGGATGTGAATCTACACCCAACAGGAGCATTTGACAGAAGTTTTCCACTTCTCTCTAAAACAAATCAAGCATTCCACACAAACAGTAGCTCATAAATAAATCAACTGAGCAAAAGGAAAAGGGGGGAAAAAAAAAGGAAGCCTTCTACCATTTTTCACAGAGATAAAATGAACCCAGATAGTGTGCCTATGTTCTCAGGGAGAGCTAAGTAAATCTTCAAGAAAACACGAGTAGTTTTGTTCATGGTGCAAAAGTGCTTTTCATCTTGTTCTTTTAATTTGTGCTGACTGAAATACTGAATATTCAAGCCCTCAAACACCTAGCAGCCTATGGGCTTTCACACAGTAACAACCATCAAAAATGTTAAAGCTCACTTTTTTGTTTTCCTGGTCAAAATGCAGCTTGCTTTAAATGTCCCGCTGTTGTCTTAACACCAAGATATGTTATCCTCAGCAATTTTTGTGGTCCACATTTTTCTTTTCTAAGCATAAATCATTTTTCATTTCAAACCAATAATCCAGGATGTTCAATATGCTCAACTGACTACTTGCAAAAGTGCTCGAGCCATTTAAGACACGACAACCATAAATGATTATGCCTACAGCTGGATGTTATGGCCTTCCCATTCGGCTAAGACTAGTATTTAGATCCTCCCAGCTCCTCTTCCCCACCAGTACAGCCATCTGAGGCTCGTGGTGCAGCAGGAGACCTCCAGAGTGAAACTGTTGGTACTGAGGACCCAGTATCTACCCACACATGGGTTTTGAGCCTGGCTCGATGCTCTGCCTGCCCATTAAGGACTGCAACATCTCGTCCAGGCTCATTTTGTCTGAAAAGTGCACACTCTGAGATCCCAGCAAGGGTGTGAATCTTGGAGAGATGAAGATTCATGAAGCATAGGTGTCATCCAAATTAAAACGCTGATGTTAATGCATCCTCACTTCTTAAGAATCTCTTAAATTAAATTGCTAACTGCCTGTCAAAATGTACATCATACTGCACTGTTCTAGTCACCAAAATCATCCAAATAGTCTGATCTCCCAATACCACCTTTCTTTTTCTTCCTAAGGGTAGGAAAATAACAATAAATGTCAAGTCTTGGCCCGCTGACACCTGCTGAAACTCCTATTTACTTCCAACAGACAAGGCTTCAGGAAGCCACATTTAACTTCACACATCTAAATCTTCTCAAAATCCAGTTCTACTGGGAAGTCAGAAATTGCCAATTGTCAGCAGCAATTTATAGTATACTGTTTCTATATGGTTAAGAAAGCAAAGAATACAGAATCACACAAAAGCACATAGATGACTACTGCCCGATATATACAAACGTGCCTTCTGCCCCCGACATTCCTTCTGGTTGCTTATAGCACTCACTGGTTATACATTCTCAACTAGCAGCTTACTTTTTATCCTTAAACAAACAATGTATTTCATTTCTATGGAAAACAAACCAGGGAAATTTAGACTCTGCAAATCCAAATGCCAAGCTACCAAAGCCTGGGTGCTGGGCAATGACATTCATGTTTATTATGGCATAGCAATCTAATTTCAAAAATTTAAAAGAACACTTGCATAGATTATGATAACCACTAAATATATTTGCTTATGTTCACCTATTTTAGTATGCCCATTTTTTATACTAACTGGTGCAGCCCTAACTGCCTACTAATGTAACAAGATGACAGGACTTTATAATTTCTTCCTGACAAGGAAGGAACCTATGTGGCAGAAAAAGGTCAAGCTGTGATATGTCAAGTGAATACGGCAGCTCATGCAGGGAATGCAATTTCAGTGACAAAGTTGCGTAGTCCTAGCTTATTTTATAAAATGCAAAGAAAATGACAAAAGCACGTGTGTACCCCTGGAATTTTTAAGCAAGCACTGTATCTTAGAAAGCAAATAAATACGGACAATTACAAAGCCACACAAAGTAACTGAGTTGGATATATACAGAAATATTTTAATATTGATAATTTCTGAGGATGTCAAAATTATGAAGTTGTTCTATCAAGAGTTGCTGTACACTAAAAAAACCCCTGAAACATTTCCACATTTAAGAATCCTCAGACTAATCTTTTGACTATACACTGAAAATGCACAGTATTGGAGGAACTGAAGCACGCTCAAACACTTTCTTCCCTCCTCCCCTTTAAAGAGTCAGTATTTTTTTTAAAGCAATGACATTCAATGTTAAAAGAAAATGAGAATTTCCCCCCTTCAAGCAGACTCTCAAAGACAATTCCAGATGCATCGGGGTTTCCTAGGTTAGCTCATTCAGCAGCCGAGACGCAGCCCACCATGTTAGGCTTTGTAGCTCTCAATAAAAAAAAAAAAAAAAGCCTGTCAATAAGGTGCCATCACAGCTTTGATTGCCCCCATCATTCACAAGGGACTGCTACAGCTGACCTGTTTTACCAAGTCTACTCCAACAAAGTTTCTGTCTAAGGATGTCAGCTTTTTTGGACAGAATTTGTAATTCTTGTAAAATTAATTAATAAATCTAAGTAACTCAGAAGTACCTTTCAACATCTTGAAAACATTTACATTTTTGCTTTTAAGAAAACAAAACCAGAGTAATCTGGCACTGCTTTGTAAGGGTTTGTTAACATTTTCTGGCACAGTACTTTGGAAATCACCGTACAACTAGTGAAACTCCTCAGTCCGAGAAAATCAGTCCCTAGAGATAACAAAACCCTCTGTCTTTTTTTCTCAACTCAACTGAAATAACACCAATAGGAATTGGCAAGTAGCGCAAGAGCCAAGAAACAAATCATTAAATATTGAAGAAAATCCAAAATGGTGGCAATTTCAACAGATTTACATGCTCTTTTTCTGCAGTTGTGCATGAACAAAGATCCTCCCCAGGCCAAGAATGACAAAGCGTAATTATTTAAAACCAGCAATATGTTACAGCATATATACACGTGGAATACGGAGTCTTGTCCCCCAGCTGACTTTTAAAGTAGGGAAACGTTCAGATGAGAAGCGGTCCGTCCACATTTTCAGGTACGGACAGTTGCAGACTGGCCATGGTGCCATCTTATCAAGCCAGGCAGCTGCGTTAATATGAGGTTATGCCAACACCAACTGGGAAGCTGAACCATTTAGACAGACACCATCTTGTAGAAAACATCCAAGGGAATAATGCTAACTCAAATTTTATATTGATTCAAACAAAAGTGTCCCACTCAACTTACAAGTCTTCTAATTTTTTTCATGTTTCCCTCCTTTTGCAAACTATCACTCATCCCTCTAAATACAGCTATAGTGTTCTCCAAGATAGCTCACTGTTCTGACACATGCCTTGAACATATATATTACGACAATAAGAAAAACAAGTTAAGCCATCCTTAACATTTCACCTTTGGGTGATAAAAGATAACGGTGGTTTTACATGCTGCTAACCTGAATAGGAACAGCCCAACAAATGGCAATGCCAAGGCATGGGACAGAGAACCTCTGCTGCAACAGAACGCTCGGCAGCAGCTGGCTTAGCTTGCTGTGTCCCACTCGCTGCAGGTGGAAGAGCTGGGGAAAGACCCCAGGCTCCTACATATAGGTCCTGAATCATTCCACCTACTCGAAGGCCTGATGTGAATTTGCACGACATACTTTTGCTGAGAACTGAGAAATTAATTTTTATAATAGCACTACTGTTATTAACTGGTTTTAATCCTGCAAACGTACATGTCTTCCTCTTTAGTCTTTTGTTTGCAGCTTAAACACAACAATCATATCATGTCTGAAGATTCAGAGGTGCTCAAGGAACAACAAGCATGAGCCAGGAAACTCCCACTGGAATTACCGCTGCTGGACAAAGGCCAGGCACATTGAGAAAATGCAGTTTAGTGAAAGACGGGCTTATAAGCTTGAGACCAGCTTCTAGAGCAAACCAGGCTTATAGAAAGAGCAAGCTTGCATCTGCCTGTCCTGCCCATTTACATCTATGTTATGAAAGGGATTTAATCAAGAAAGTTTAAGCTGATACTTCCATTACCAAGGGCCTGCAGAATTACCACAGCTTCACCAATATCTTAAATTGTGCCAACTCATCTGCCTAGATGAATTCACAGAAACAGTAGGAGAAAGCACAAGCAGCGTATGGGAAATTAGATTCCAAAATATGGAAATGAAAACAAGATAGGAAGAAGATGATATGTCTAGAAAGAGCCAAAGACAGCAGATGCTCCAGGTGTGGAGGGTCTCTGACAGGAGGGATGCTATGGCTCTGCTAAGCACCACATGAAGCCTGGGGAAGGGAAACAGGCACTTTGGCAAGGTGCTGTAGAAGCAGCAAAGTGAAAATATCCCTTGTTTAGACTTCTTTGAAATAAGGATTGCAGAGCAATATAGCAGCATTCGATGATATAATTGGAATGTTGG